TTAGTATCTCGTTTCCACCAGTTAGTAAGTCGTGTGCACCAGTTAGTATCTAGTGTGCACCAGTTAGTAAGTCATGCGCACCAGTTGGTAAGCCGTTCCCACCAGTTAGTAAGTCGTGCGCATCCAATTAGTAAGTCGTTCCCACCTGTTAGAATCTTGTTCCCACCAGTTAGTAAGTCATGCACACCAATTAGTAAGTCGTTCCCACCAGTTAATAAATCGTGCGCACCAATTAGTAAGTCGTTCCCACCAGTAAGAATCTTGTTCCCACCAGTTAGTAAGTCATGCCCACCAGTTAGGAGCTGTTCCCACCAGTTAGTAAGTCATTCCCACCAGTTAGTAAGTCGTGCGCACCAATTAGTAAGTTATTCCCACCAGTTAGAATCTCATTCCCACCATTTAGTAATTCGTGCGCACCAGTCAGTATCTCATGCTCACGACATACCTCACAGGATCTTTCAGATCGTTTTGGACAAGCTGTGTGTGTACTGAAATGGAAACATGGCGTAAGTGAGTTTTATTTCCAGTTTGGCCTGAAATACAAACACAGGGCTGCRTTGCTTGTTCTCCGATCGGTGCTGCAGCTTGGTGACAGTCTCAGAGCCTTTCCTCCCACAGTTCTCGGATGTTTATGTTTATGATTATGCCACATATTTCCATTTCARTAAACACACAGCTTATCCAAAATGATCTGAAAGATCTGTGAAGTATCTCGTGCGCACGACTTACTAACTGGTGGGACCGAGATACTAACTGGTGCGCATGACTTACTAWCTGGTGGGAGCGAGAGTTTTTTTTTTTCATCCAATGTCTCTTCAGGGGCTCAGTACATCTTGACTCAAATAAACTTCCCTTGTTCTGAGTTCTATTTACTCCGTTTAAAGGCTACTTAGCCAATGTTTTATGATTGTATACCTAGTTGTCCAAATGCTTTTTGTACAATGTATTATGTTTATTATTTTAATGTTGTTTTTCATTAATTTTATATTTTGTGATTTATTGAAAGGTATATATACAGTACATAAATAAATGTTGCTTTTTCTATTTTATGAGAAAAAAGCATTAACGTACTTGTAYTCAAAGCTGCGAGTTTCATTGTCCCATGTTGCTTTCAGCAGCACCTGAAAATCAGACACAACAGTGCATGAGCCTAAAAAAAATAAAGAAAGAAACTATTGAACTGTGAACAACTTCAATTTGAAGCACATGCTGCAATCGCCCTAAGTCTTTCAGTTGGAAAGAAACCATCTTTCAGGATCTTACGACTGTTTCAGAAGGAAACAAAAGCCACGGCACCAAAACTCAGGAGAAAACAGATGACTACTAGTGCAATTTCAGTTTCTATTGCTCCTCCACCCAGCTAGAACCRCATGTTGGGGTGCTGTACCTTTGAGTCAAGAATGTAACAGTCCAATCTAATCCATTTCCACAGAGGCAACATTATACTGGCTCGAAATGCTTCATCTTCTCCTGTTGTCATGCGGGCCTGAATTATGATGTCTCCTGCACAGAAGATATGACAGACATATATTTCGCCAGAGGAAATCCAAAGCTCTTTATTAATACATAACACAGTCTGTTCCTGACTCTCACAAAACACACATCATTCCTCACAATCATCTCACGGCAGCTCTGTCAAATCCTATACAGCAGATTGTGTCTACACAAGCTGCTGTGACCCACCTGTGTCAGTAAGTTGGATCAGGACAGAGTTGAATAAATTGTTCGTATCGACATGATGTACGATCCCACAGGGGCTCTTCTGACACCATTTTAGTAGGTAGATCCACATAGAGAAGGTGACGCTGAAAATCAAACAACAAACATGAGTCGACAAATCATGTCTTCAGCTGCTCAAGCATGAGGCCAGATTTAAAATGCTGCACTGTCTGCTAAAAACACCTGACCTCGCTGTGACTGTGAACAAAACGCTTAAATGCTTGGGTGAAGAGGCTTGGTGATGCTCATAAAGTCATTTGTATAGAGAATGAATTAAAACCAAAAGTGAAGTGTGCATGGCAGCCCTTCAAAGGAAGCTACCATTGACTTCATTGAAAACTATCATCTTAAATGTAGCATGTGTCTGCCTCARTAAGACCTAACATCTAAAAGTTTCATTTTTGAAGCATTTGGTATAATATCTGCAAACACTACAGGGGATTTTTCCCCCCATGCTGTGTGGCTGAACTTGATACAGAATAAGTTGCAGCTAAAATGAGATAAGCTAGAAGTCAGTAAGTGAAGCCCACCTGGGTTGTGTTACAGCACAAAGACGGGATCTCTCCAGGRCTCGAGTGATGAAAGGCTGGAACCTGCGGACCACCCCAAAATGCTCACCCGTGCTTGCCAATGGGAATTTCAGCATGTCAATTTCATCTGTGTATAAGCAWCACGCCAAAAACATTTATTCACAAATGGTACTTTTATGTTGGTACTTTTGAATGCATTGTAATGAAAGATTGGGAGAGCATGTTTACATGATTAAAGGTCTAACCTGACTCATGTGGGCACTGAGGGGTTTTCCTTTTGGTCATTTGCCACATGAGATAAGCAGACCATGACAGGCATCCAGTGGGGGGGTTTCTTGGCAGCATAGAAAGAGGTAATATCTGCTGCACTTCGTAAATCCTTAACATGGAGTCATGTTGGTCGCTGATTTCATTGCCTTCTTTTAAATAATCCAACCAAGCGCGAACTGTCACATTCTGGGAGTCCTTCCTGCTGAAATAGCGGTGATGATGTGAAATATGGGGAGGCAATCTGAGCAACACCTGCTGGGTACTGGAGACTTGAGGTGTGCTGCTGATCCATTTTCTCCTGAACACCACCAAATCTGTCTGCCCTAATGTTGGCACCACAAGTTCCACTGCAAGCTGACATGGCCTGGAGCACTGATACCGCACACGGACCACTGAGCCATCTGCCACTTTGTCAGGTACCAAGTCAAACCCAATGAAACTGTCAGGCGAGGTGTCTCCACTCTGGCTTGAAACATCTTGTAACACACACATTCCCTGGGGGATAAAAAATTAAATAAAACCAGTGAAGGTAACAGCCTGTTACTCTGAAACAAAAAAGTAATGCAAGAAACATTAAAGAACATTTCAAAAATAATCAGACATTATCTTTGTGTTTCTGTCACAAATTTTAGTCCAAAACGTCTTTCACTGGTTTGGAAACACGTACAAAACAAGCTTCTTTATTGTGAATACTATGCTATGGACTTTGGTAGCAAAATATCATTTAGCGTACGCTAAACATTGGTGAAAAAAACTAAAAAGAAACTTCCATATGCAGCAACTGGAATTTTGAAAAAATGAGTGAAGAAACCCAGTCAGGCACAGGCACACTTCAGTTGAAAACATCATTCAAACTTCACATTACTGAACCAGCAATTTGATATCCTTAGCTGTTTTACACAATCATGGTTTAGCTTTTATGATTTCAGATTTAACCACACAATGTTCAACATGTGACACACACACACACACACACACAACAAGTTTAGAAATGACTGTTCCAAAATGTTTGCAAGCTCTTCTTACTCCAACAAACTACACTTTTAATAGTTTACATATCAAAACGTGAGCAGTTTTGTCTCCTTTCACTCAGTGTGTCTCACTGCTACAATCCTCACAGATGCACACACCCAACATCTTATTGACTTCCACTGTGTCTGGGCTCAGAGTTCTCTCTTCTACACTAGAAGTTAAGGATATTTTTTAATTTCTTTGTTGGACACAGTGAACAAAATAATCCACATGACCACCAGACTTCTGTTTCTTGTGATTCAAGAAAYATTTAAATCCAATTGCTAGTTTTTGCTTATTGACTTGTTTTGACCTTTCTGCTGTGTTTGTGTCTGGTCCTCTCATTAGGTTTACTATATCAGGAGGTGAAAATCACAGATGTGGGTAACCCTTCTATTACAGTCCCCTAATTACCATAYAATTACCTAGCAAGTGACMACTATTTACTATGCAATTATTGTATTTATTCATGTWTAATCAGAGGTGCACAAAACCGGTGCGCAGGTGCGCATGCGCGATCAAAAAAGGAAAAGGCGCACCAGATGGGACGTCATAGCTCCCTTGCATACCTAAGATTGTACCTGATTGTCTGTCAAAACAACAGTTAGCAGGGCTCTAGAGTGCGACCAGTGTGGTTGCAAAGGCGACCTGATTTCTTAAATAAAAAAAAAGAATCCAGCTGCACTGGTGTGAATGGATCGTTGTTCGGTGCGCCACAGCTGGACCCTGATATAAGGATTAAACAACACTGCCTTCAACAAATCAGACGAATTCCAGAGCCATTTTGTCCAATCAGAGCAGAGCGGGGCGGGACTTTCAGTGAAAGCAGTTTGGTTGAAGCAGCGGACCGACTCCAATCGACTCGAGCTGCTGCAGCGATCAGTCCCATCTCCTCCTGCACTTTGCTCCTGAACTACCAGAGACTTTGGTCTGTAAAACCTAACTTTATATTAAATCAGAATGTTGTTATTGAACAGATCTTTCCAACTCTGTGTGAGTGACTAAACTGTCCTCCTGAGAGACTGCTGTATGAGTGCGTCACTGTGCGCGCAGGCTGCTGTGAGTTCTTCTAATTAAACCACATTAACTAACAGAACATTTGTTTGCCCCATATTAAAGCAAAGATATTCTCTGTTCAACAC